CTTTGTATGCAGTCCTCTTTAAATGGATAAAGCTTCAGCAACGCAAAACAGACGAGAAAGGATGGCATTTTGCCGGTTATTCTTCACTTTTCAGATTACTTTAAGAGAGGTGTCTGTTGAGATGGCCAATATGTTAACAACGTGTTAGGTTATCGCATTTCTTAAACAGCCACTACCACTATTATGTAACCATGCGGGATAGCATTTTTGAACCCTCTTAGACAGGATACGCACCTGAATTTGGCTCTTCAGAAGCAGGTGAACAGATAAATACAAGCAGACGTTGTCAAATGCAATACATTGTCCTCAAGGCATCTGCGGACAAATTAAAGGCTACAGAAACAACTCTTAGCGTTGTTGCGAAGAGTGGCTTTTGCCAAAATGAAATCCCTCTCGTAGGTCAAGTTGCCTATGAAACTCAAGTTCTTCCAAAGTTTTCTTTTCTGGAACAAGTAACATCTCTTTCCTCTAAGGTTTTGGTTTGATATTGTATATCGATGTGTAACCGTTTCAGATGAGGATTTATTTCAGAAAATCGATTTCTACTTCTAGGGCGTCACGGACACAGTTACGTAGGGTGCGAGGGACAAGTGGATTCATCGAATTTTGTTTTCTTTGAACATGTTTACAATTGTATAAACTCAACAGTTGACCATTCGAAGTGGGTTTCCTACCGACTATACTTCTTGATGTTCCACTGGGTCTTCTTGTTAGATCCACATCGAGAAAGGATATCAGATTGACCAGTGGTGGGATTCAATGAATCGCTTTCAAGGTTAGGTATTCTCGAATATACAATGGAGGGATGCTTTGGTTCAGTTTAGTTCGCTATCGAAGACGAAAGAAGATCTTATTGTAACTGATCGTAATATGCTATTGGCAACAGTCCCAAATAGGCGTTAATTATTTTGCAAGATAAAGTAAAACTGTTCCTCTCATCACAATATTACACATAGTTGAACAAAATTTTAGACTGGCCAGCTGGGCTTAAATATTAGTTTGACGACATTATAGTTATTCTGAATAACGGCTGCTCATGTTCCATTTTGAACTGCCTAATATGCAAAATGACATGGTATTACACACTGCATTACTACATATATATGTATACTTAAATTTTTGTATACATCCACTAGTGTGAATCTCTCTGATGAACGTAATGATAAATTTGTACTTATACCTAATCTATGTATATTATAGGCTTTATTATTGTCTTTCGCCGTACCTGCTTTAACAGCAGTTAGGCGGTTATGGAATTTTTTATCATGGTTTCTGACATTAGCTGTTTCCGCGGCAGCAATCATCCTGGGTTACAAAATGAAAAAACTAAGTAAGAAGTCGAGCATTATAGTGCTGAGTCTTGCGGGTGGAATAGCAGTGCTGGATGTCATTTTGTTGATTGCTTTAGGAGTTGCTAAGTACGAGGTGAGTGACGTGTGTTCTTTGAAGAATTAACCGACTTTGAATAATTCTATTAATTTAAAAGATTTTCTATTCTGTGCCTTGCCAGTTATAGCTCACTGGACCGATTACTTGGAATTATAGCTGTAAGTGATAAACACAGAGACATATGGTAGTAGGATTATCCTTTGGTAGGTGGTACAAGTATCAGTCGTAGAACACAACAACTTTGAAAGTTAAATGTAATGTGGACAAACTGCATGTACACTATGTAATGGAATAATAGTTTGGAGACAACCTATCTGGATATTTCAAATATGTAGGTAAATATTATCATTTCTCTTCCTCCAATGTTCTTGCAGTTTCTTTGCTGTTTTTGCTGTTTACCTCTTTCTTTATTCTATCTTCAAAGTGGATGCTTCTGTAGCAGAGAACCTATTGCCTCTGTATAGCTGCCAAGTGTATTTGGTGGGGTAATTTTTTATCTCAAATAACCGTCTTTCCGCCTCTATCAGGCACTTAGCTATTTTTCACCAACTATTCATTGGAACGCAAAGATTTCTTCCTTGTGTTTATACCACTAAATGTCAGTTGCTGTAACTACATTCTTTCTACTTTAAATTTTCCATTCATGATCTATATACTTATTCATAATTATCTTCATTTCACTTGTTTCACTTTTTTCTCTATCTCCAATACTCAAGATTCTTGCAGGAAATGCAACACATTGTACTAGTTGCTGTTTAAGTATTTTGAATATATAACATCTGCATGGACACAGTGATTTCAGTTACCGATGTTGTGTTTATTTAATCCCCGAGAACGTTCAAATTCTAGATATTTTCATGCACCCCATCCATAAACCATGGAGTTAATCTATTTCGATGCAATCTCGTCTGTTACTGGCTACTTGAAGACGCTAATATAGAATGCCTAAGTGACCTTGATTTTGTGCTTTGTAACCTACAAAATATAAGATGTATTTCGAAGTTATTCAGGGGATAACAGCGAAACCACTTTTCTGCAATAGGTGAGACTAGCGTTACTAGAAGGACTGGCTGAATACTGTGGCTCGTGGTCAACCTACACATAATACACCGGTAGATGTTAGAACTGATGATGTATTATCCTCCATTCCAGTAACCAGATTCTGTAGGTGGTTCCCTAGTAACCGTCAGATTGGTGTCACAGACAGAGGTTGTTCAAGTGTCACAAACAACAAAAAAACAGCTGCCTACTACTCCCTGTTTTTCTGAACTTCTCCAGCTATTACTAATTACACGATGAGTCCTAACATTTTAGAAACCATAACTGATTGTGCTGTATTGTTTTGACGAAATGCATAACCACTTTGCGTTGTTTTTGTTTTCTGCAGACAACTTCGGACATACTTTCTTCCCCAATAATCGTGCTGGCTGTTACAATGGTAAGTCTAAAAATGAGTTCTACTATAACCTTTTTGCATGTTTTCACATTATTATTTCTATTGCGTCAGTGTATGAATAACTGAATACGTTGCCCAATTTCCAAGCGACCATTACCATTTGCTGAGTTGTCAGGTAACTGCATCGACTGATAGTTTCCATGGTTTCAAAACATAAAACTAAAGTAATATGACTAGATTTATGCCACAATTCTTCATTTTTCATAAAATCTCGGGAGGTATTCAGTATATGAAGTTTATATTACTTGCAGATGAAAGGCATTAGGAAACCATTGAAGCACTTTTGAAGTATTGGTTTGTAGGGAGTTGTTTGATTCGTTATAGGATTCCTACATGAGCTGACATCGGCCTAACAGATGCCCTTGCAACCAGAAGGTCCAGGGTTCAAACCTCAGTGGGCACATGCCGAAGAAGAATCCCAAACTGGCACAAAACAGCGCTTCAGCACTTCAGAGTTTTCCAAAGGTTCTGTAACCGATGTCAGCTCATGAAAAATTCATAGAATCACTTCTGTTGTGGTTTGAAACCTCCAATCAACCCAGAAACATTCTGGTTACAAATGATAAGCCATTGAAATGCTTCTCTATGGTTGATAAGAGTTGGAAAAGTTATGAGTCATGGTACAATACTGTTAAGGAGTCTCAATCTAGGTGGAAATATTTTCACGGCACTCGCTGGTTTTCAATACTCCTAGAAGCGATATCAATTCACGATCTATTCTGAAATATTAATTTACTTCAGATTTCCATCCATGTTGTTAATGTTTACATATTCATTTTTACTTCACCAAAAGGTGTTATATCTGACTGGACAAGCCATAAAACGCTGCAGGAAGGCTGAGACAGGCAGTGTTCTACATCTTCGGCTATCCCTTAATACGTGGACTGGAGTGATAATAATATATATATTCGTATCCGTCATGTTCCCGAAGCCTAATAATGCATCCGGTTAAATAACTAAATGAGAACGTACCCTTCAAATTTTGTTGATAAACAAGTCAATTATTACTCATCATGTTGTTAGTTGTTTTAAAAATACTTATCATTTGAAATATACACTGCAGTCATATGAGTTGAATTTATTTAGTAAAAGACGACGACTTTCATTAGTGTACTTCGTGTAACCTACTACACACAACAGTGGAATGTAAGGAGAACGGATTGAAGAATTTGGTATGAATGGAGCGTATTATGCACATGTTTTTAATGAAAAGCGCGTTTTCACCATTGAAATGTAGGCCAACATAGCGCGTGAATGTACTTGGTACCAGTTGATTTTCCGAACTTTTAACCGATATCTTTGCAATGCGTTTCAGTACATAATATGTAGATTTCAAGATATTCTCATCATCTCGGACATGATCACGCTCCCATTGTGATTAGAAAGTGAATGGATTTAGCTTTCATTACATTGCGGTCAATAGGCTTCATTTTAAAGCCTTTAATTGTCATTTACAAACAGAATTATGTATAGCTGTAGGTGCTAATTTAAGCCATAGTTGGGAAATCAGATTTAACATTAGGAAGGTTTTTCGATACAACATATACTGAGTACAAAACAATAATAAATTCGCGGCGTTTCCGTTACAATTTATTCCTCGCAACAATGTCAGTGTATGCGCAAGATCTACTGACTTCAATCGGTTAGCTGTGCACCGTCCTATTTTTATTGAATTTTTCAAACATGATGTAGGAGAACTGTGTCGTAGTAATTGGAAAATAAGTACCTGAAGAAACGAACTAGATGAGTCAAAAACAGTTACTTGCTTCCTACCTCTCAGGTTCAGTGGTATTATATGATGAGTAATATTGAGGTCGGGATATACATTGACGGATAAATGGAATAGTGCAATCGATGAGGTTGTGAAGCCATATCGATTGAGATGGCTAGCACACGTTCCGCGCACCTAATAGAGCATGGAACATTGAATACAAACCTGACAAGTTAATCATCAGTTGAACTTTGACATTCTTTGATATTCTACTAGTTACAGAAATATATATGAAATTACAAATTATGATGCACCAATCATATTAGGCAACAGAACATTCATAACAATCAATATGTTATCGATATGCGAACAAAGTTCAAAGTACTTTGAAAGCTGTAATATCAATGAAACATATAAATGGCAGAATCTAAAACGTTGAGTACAGTTGATCAATATGAAATCATGTAAGCTCGTTAGTCGACAAAAAGTTTTGGCAGTTTTTATTGAGGATCAGTAAATTCCACTTAGAGTGTAAAGTGATGTACACCATGAACACGTTCATGAGACCAGCATTACTAACATCATTGATTAACAAATCAGGAGTAATTTTGGACTAAGTTATCGGAATAATTATTTGTGAAAACCTGTTACTACATACGTATTATCCAAAGTACATTAGGTTCGCTTATTTATTTGCATAGCTGAATTCACCTGCATAATTGGTTGAATTTTTTCAGACATCTTCTTAAACATGATCTTGCTGTGTTTAATAGTGATCAGTACACGTAATGCCTATGTTACTTAGAAACATACCAAATATAAGTATATATATATTTATATATGTCATTGTTTTATATGTACCATGGTCTGTTCCATAATTATGATAAGCCTGATCGTATATTCAATGAAAAGGCGAGTAATAACAAAATACGGGAAGTGAATTTATTTCGATATCATATGGGCTTCTTGCTTTGAATTCATATGTTGCCCACCAAATTCAGCAATGTGATGTCGAAGCTGACGATCATTTCAGATCAAATGCTGGGAATTCTTGTCAGTAAAGCAGCCTTGAAAAAAGTATTTATTCCGATGAATTCTTTCTTCATCAGTAGGATTTGTAAATAATGGAATTCAGGAAATCAGTTCATTTTTGAAATCAGTGGAATGGTAGGAGAACGAATTGAGGAATTCGGTATGAATGGAGCATACTAGGCACATTTTTTATTGAAAAGCTCGTTTCCACTATTGAAATGTGAAACAGCATAATGTGTGATTGAAATATATTCGCCTCAACACTGGTTGATTTGATGATAACAATTTCCACCGTCAACAATTCAGGAAATCGGAAGACATACTGTACTTCTAAATCTTTTCATCAGTAAAAACGTGTGACCTGTAGACTCTCCACCAATATAATCACTGAAAATAAAAGCTTTAAAATACATGCACTTCATTACAGTTTAAGGGTGTATAGTATTGCACACACCAATTTCAAATCAGTTACAGTAAAATACTTTATATATTTCAATTGCCACATAATCGATTTCTTCATTTTCCAATTTAAATGAAAAGTGGTGATAGGTCATAAATTAAAGGTTTGTCAGAAAAACAAAATTTTCAAGACTTTATTTCACAGATTACAAAGTTTGCAGTTACTTCTGAAGAAGGCTGTTACCTAAAGGTAGGCAAATTTACTTTTATTTAGAACGAAAAATGTAATATAATGAAGTATCTGATTTTATCATGTGCAACTGTTTTGATGACAATAATTATCACGATGTGCACAGCGACCATGTAAGTCTGTACTGTAATGCTTGCTCTACTCGCCCTTCCCCTTAGACCAACTCTGCAAAAAGTGTACGGCACTCTGTTACTCCCATCCATATTTTTGTAAGTAAATCGACATTAAATAATGTCAAATGCATAGATGTTACCATTATATTACATTTATTTTTACAAGCCTTAAATGTTTGTAGTTCCTCCAATGATAACCTAAGAAAGTTAGTGTCTGTTCATTTTCAAAAGAAGACTATTTAAATCAAGGTTATTCACGCCCATTTACTTTCAATTGCTGTCAGGTTTTACTAACCGTACTCAGCAGTCTATCTTCTACATTTCTGCATTGCATATCATATCAGGTGTGACATGTTCTGATGCTTTTATTGGCGAAAATGGGACTATGACAGTGGGCTTAAAATCCCCTAGCTAGAAAGTTCACTGCCGCTAGAGACTTGAAACTACAAAGTGCTATTTTAAGATCATATCACATAAAAGCGTAAATTTCCTGATAACAGTTGAACATTAAACATTCGAATTTACTTGTGAAGTGAACGGTGTGTAGGAAAATGTTACTGTGTCATTATAATCAGTAGTATATATTTATAAGTTATCAGAACGATAATGACATTTATTATGACTGTATTATGGTAATTCTATTCCTCTATGGTAGCTTCTAATGATCCATGAAAATACAGTTTATACGATTTGCAATTCTATTTGACTAACTAGTTTCAAAATTTCATTTTTCAGTGTACTTGGCTTAACTCTCACTGGGGTGATTCTGTTTGTTAAAAAAGTTCAAGAGCGCTTGCCATTGTTTATTGGACTGTTAGTACTTGCTGTAAGTTTGATATGGTGGCATTTCAATGTGATTCTTTTTATACAGGACACAAAAATCTACAGAATGAGGACTATCCATATCAAACAACAGTTGGAACTGATGTTCAGATTCTACGTTGCCGTAGTGTCGATAAAACGTAATTTGAAATTAGGGACTGTAAGGAAGAGCAGTCTAATTAGGTGAAAAGGCAAGACGGGTATACTGATCATGGATTAATATGGTGGATAAAGTATCAGAAAGAAACTGAATTATTTTTCCGAACTATGCGTTTCCATGTTATCTGAGTTAAACTTAACTTGGTTTCTCACTTCTTAGCCTTTTGGCGGCTTACTGGTGTGTTTAACTAATAACCGTGATATATGACAAGGGTAGTTGGTTCGTCAACATGAACGATTCCAATTTTTTTAGATTTGCATATAGGAACAACAAAGTTCGGCAATAATGACTGTGAAGGAAAGCTTTCCAATATCACATTGGCTATTCAAGGAAACTCTGAGAAAATCTGTCTTCGTGATGACTTCAACATGTTAGACAGAATACAGCAGAAACCCATTAAGGTATTTCATTGTCATAGGTTCATTTTTTTTAATTCATGGAAAATACTCATCCAAACAGTAAAGCATAAGAACGACAACCACTTTGAGGAAAAAATACTCAGGGAAGTGATAGTTTAAGTGATGAAAGAGGGATGATAGATTAGACCCTGTATTGAAATGACTGGGCGGATGAAGGTACCGAGTGCTTTAGATGTTTATCCACAGAGTGTCACAGCCAAATGCTGATGCCAGTTGATGTCAAGTGAGTCAGGGCAGAGAGCTCAGTAATGAATTTGAAGCGAAGAGAGGAGTAATAAAATATTGGCGACGATGTTTCCAGTTGTGGTGAACTGATTGATGTGGTAAACAGTGTGGATAATGAAGGTGAAGATAGATTGGACTGATGAGAAATTTCCAGAGGGTCTGAATATGTTTATCTTCTGTTCCATAAAGTTATTTTATATGCTGAAAAACCAAAATTGTGCAGATTATGATGAAGGAACTTACCTAGCACCAAGCGGCATCTTTCAGACTTCGTCCTGTAGCATTTGTTTAAATCGTAAACCACATGAGACTCAACTGAGGGTTGAAATGCGAAACGAGCTTTGATTTGCTAGAATCAGTGTAGGATTTCTCTGCATTCAGCATAAGAAACAGGATATGTTACAGCAATAACAATTTCATCTGATTTCTAAGATATGATTCAGAGAAGTGTTACATCACAAAGAGCATTTTCAAAAAGCTACCACATGCTACCTTCAACAACTGACTTCTGTGTCTCCACATTTAAGATGAAGTGGAGAATTAGACAGTATTGGCAACAAGCAACTACGGCAATGAAATGACTAACAACGTATAGTCCAGTAAATATTCAGGATGAAATTAGGATGGATAAGATATAGGCTATGGTAACTGTTGTATAGCCGCAGGCGCTAAGACTTTAAGTGTAGTATGAATGATCAATGACGAGTTCAGTGATTTTTGCGAATGACGTAGAGGATATCGTTAGAGTAGAATAAAACAAATAAGTGATAATAGGGCGAGCTTTGGAGAAAGGACTGTAAAAAAGAGGGGGAAATGGAGAGTTACTGTCAAAGCATTGTGTTTCACTTGGAAATCAAAAAGGAAACATTAATGATATTAGTGTTTAATGATCACCCTGTGATGTTTATAACAGTCCTAAACCCAGTTGAACTATTTTACCGTGTATACGAATACATTAATATGAATTTGTTTCTTTGAAAATATCGATAATATTGCACCTAAACCTAATCTATACACACTGTAGGTTTTATTGTTGTCTTGGGGAATACCTGGTATAACAGCAGCTGTCGGATTGTGGAATATTTTATCATGGTTTCTGACATTGGCTGTTTCTGTTGGTGCTCTAATTTTGGGATACAAAATGAAAAAGCTGTCCAAGAAAGCGAGCATTATACTACTGAGTTTTGCAGGTGGAATTGCGGGAGTAGGATTCATTGTGTTTATTACTTTAATAGCCACTAAGAATCACGTGAGTGCCGATTGACGTTGAAAAGAATAATTTATCCTGAATAACTCATGTGATTTTTGATATTTTCGAGGTAATATTCGTAAAGTTTTGGGACACATTATTAGAGTATGGTGAAAAACTGAGTTGTGTGATAGAGAAAATATTCATTCATCACACGTTCACATGGTAATAACGAAAAAAAGACCCTAAATAAAAACACTATATCGGTTTCATAATTATCTTCAGTTTTCTTGTTCTCAACTTCACCCACGAAGCTAATTTCTAACATTCCAACACATGTTACACAACATGTTATTTACAAACGTTTCTCAGTAGTACAAACGAAACAGCTCATTCATAGATGCTCATTACATTCATGCAGATTTCTCAAATTCAAGTACCGCATGAATCGCTATCTTCACTTGTGAAGATTTCAGTGTAAAAACGTTTGTTGATGTGTTTGTGTTCTCTGAGCTGGATAGTCAATTCGCGAAGCTTTCATTACGGTAATAGGTGACATCTTCAAAGCATACTTCAATTTGAAGTGAACTTTTCGATTTCTCTCCGAGTCTATTAATCGTCTCTCCCGGTGACCTTGGACGTGATTGGTTGTTTTTGTGTGTTTTCACACCTTCTAGGTTACTTGTATTGGAACTGATTGTTTCTTTGACTTGAACTTTGACCCTTTGTGTGTGGGGTTTTTTCTTATCGGTTGATGAATTTTGTCTATCTCTATGTGTCTATTGATTGATGATTCAGTGAATCATCACACATCCAAGGTCAACGGTAAAGATGATTAACAAACCCGTAGAGAAATCTAAAAGTTTACTCCAAAATGAAGTATGTACTGAAGATGTCACATGGTAGGGCGATGAAAGCCTTGCGAATGAACTGTCCAGCTCAGAGAACACAACCGCATCAAAATCATCCACCTGAGCTACAAATCTTCTCCATCATATCTAGTCTATAATTTGCGTTTTTGCATGACGATTTGGGTAACTCCAGCTATGTTTGTTTGGTTTCTAATTTTGGTTGAATTCCAGGTATTTCTCATCCAACCTCGTCACGAACATTAGAGAGCAATTTGTTTCATTGTTGGTGTTGGTTGTGTGTAGCCGATAACGAAAACGTCTGTACATCTTCACTGTTCATAATTGTAACCAATGAATATACCCGAAACTTCGTAGTCAATCAGTGAATTGTGCCCTATATAGTGACATTGAAAAATAGTATAATTGATAGGATAGCTGAGGTTCCTTGGTCCCAGTTGTCAAATGCACAATACTGTCTTGTTTTCAAAAGTTATTTCGCTGATGTCAGTTCGTGATTAATTTCAAACACAGCCAAAGTAGATCTCTTCACACCACATATACGATGAAACATTTATTTAACTTTGATTGAATGTGGCATGGGAGTTTTTTTGTTTTTTCTTATTTTTTAGACGATTTCAGCCTATCTAACTCCCTTAATCTTTATTTTCGCCCTGTTGATGGTGAGTCTGATCACGAATCTCGTTAATATTTACAAGTTTGAAAGTCCACATTATGGAAGTACGCAGATAATGAATTTTAGTCGTGTTCATGTTTTTGCTGTCATTAGTATTATTATTTTGTGTTCCAGGTGAAACGTAAGACTTCACTCGGTTCCACTACTCTATAGCCATCGCCTTTCTCATACTTCTGCTTCTACTTTTTGTGTGTGTATGTGCAATTGCCTGTTCATACCTGTACTCTAGAAAGCATTCCAAAGGTCAAAATTATCCCTTCATTTTGTAAATAATAATATTAATATAAACTAAATCATATATAACTCAACATATTCCCCGAATCGCACAAGTTATTCAATCTGCAGTACTTTTTATCAGCTTTACATGCACAACCGTGCTAACATCAGTGCTGATATACTTAATATGAATATTCATGTTTCTGTAGTTCCTTTTATTTTAATAGGTGTTATATCTAACTGGACATGGTATAAAACGTTGCAGTAAGCCTGAAACAAGCAGTCTTCTACCGATTTGGATATCACTGATTACTTGGACAGCGGTAGTAATAGTTTATGTATTCATATCTATTATGTTTCCGAAAAATAAAAGATACACCAACGAGACTCAACATTTGTCCTTCAAAATTTTGGCATGAATAGTTTTACTTTATCCATCTGTTTTTCGTAATGTTAACTTGCTGAATACAATTTGAAATATAATTTGAAACTATATAAATTGAATATACTTGTTACATGGCTATGATAATTAATAATATATTTGATATTGAAATTCAATTGAAACTATAAATTTTATTATTACAAATGTAATAAAAGAATAAGGACAGTTTGGTTACCTCGGTGACTGTCGAAAAAAGATGTGTCACCTATTTGGTGTTCACACAACTTTAATTTTTACCATCTCATGACTAAATACAGCTTCCTAAATGTAACTCAGTGGATAGGAAGTTAATTGACTAAGGTAAGAGCATAATAATATTGATAATAATAAGAGCACAGTTCTTGTAGAGATTTGGGTTCCTTTCCATTTTAATTTAATCAGAAAATGATATAAAGTAGGGAGACAAGAAGTGCTGATAGCTTTTTAATCCTAGTTGGTGACACCACAGTATTTATCACCCATAACTACACCAGAGTTAAGCAAATGACCTCCAGGTAGCCACAGCATAGAAAAAAGGCGAGTGTGACGTAGTGTAGCAGCCGTTTATTGTGTAGCTGCATTCTTTGTAATTTAATAAGACCGAATTATGTTCCCCTATTCTCTTTCACAATTTCTGTTTAGGCGTAATCTTAGATATATTGGAATCACATTCTGACCTGAAGCGATATGCACGTAGCAGTTTCGTGGGCATACTTCATCTAATTATAATACAACAAGTGTCAACAGGCACTTCCCTTCAAGGAATGCGTTGAAAAATATACATCCTTGCTGTTAGCTGATATACTGGCAACATAAGTGTTTTGAAAACAGAAAGATTGAGCGAAGAAATTTTTACTTTTCAATTAGATCTTTTATATCAACAAATAGCTTGTGATTCTCGGTTGAGAGTAGTTTTCAGAAATTAGTCATTATTCTTTTTGGAAGAAATTTTGAATGCATATTACAAATTATTTTCGAAATATGGCAAGCATGCATATCGATAGAAAGTGGAACAACATTTGAAATTCCCTTATTGTAAAATATGCACTGAAGTGCTTCATATTACCTCCATTCAAGGTTTAGTGGTTGGTATTTTCCACTCTTATTAGGTTTTGAGAACTGATGAATAATGAAGTGTCAGTTAGGCATTTATGAGCTGTCGATGGCTTTCTGTCGGTAACTGCCTGCGAAATGTGTTACGCACTGTAAGCATTTGTATTACTCATCAAGTAACATGGCTTAAAATAAGATTGAGATAAATAAAGTGAGCAGTGGTCAAGCAATTACTTCACATCAGTCGATTTAGTCTTTCACTGTAATACGAATTCTGCCTAAATCCAGTGAGTCAGTGACGCTCTATATTTTCACAGTGTATATGGTAGTTGAAAGGGAGATTTCGTTGCTGAGAATCATTGGTTTCCATTTAGGTATTGTGTAGAAATCAGGTTACCTGGATTACTTAATGTTGCTACATTGAAGCTACAAATTTTGAGGTTAATGTACACTAAATGGAATAAGTGCAGAAAGACGTATCATTCTGTCTGTGTGGTTTGCTTATGTAAAATAAAATCTTTAAAGTTGTGGCCTTCACTATCAAGGATGAATCGTTCTTTCAGTGAACAGACACAATACAATGGCTTTTGTCCCAATGTTTCCAACTCTGTATTTCGACAGAACATGATGAATATACAGTGTTAGTTAACTGCTTACTGTGTGTCAGCTGATGACCCGCAATATCTTGTACCACTTGGTTGCATCGCTAACTGACAAAACATCGGCTCTTACGACAACTTTAATATTCTCATCAATATTACCCGTATAAAATTTCCCTTTATGCTCAGAATATGGCCAAAAATAGATGGATAAAAATGTCATGATAAGGCTACCAGATATAAATTTGCTTACTAGTTGATTGCGACAAGCTATATAATACTGTTAGGCAAGGGATTCAATGTGTAGGGTGTTCCTGGTCACAAGATAGTGTGATGACGTTTTTGTCATGTATTGAATGCACAGGCCTTGATTGTTTGTGCTGCAGCTTAGCGTATTATAAATGATAGATCCAACGCGGACTGATTTCTTGATTTTTGGTCAGATGACATATCAAACACAATAGCTGGCACTCATCAGCAAGGCACATATATGCGACCTTAAAGAGTATCATGTCCTTAATGAGGTTCACATCCGCGTCACCCAGTGCTGTACTCACAGATGTTACCACTGAGCTACTCGGACTCGCAACTGACCTCTTGTAAGGACTGTACTGGATACTTATGATTGGACACTAGTTAGTAACTAGTGTAATGTATCTACCCTTTTATCTGATGTAATCTGAATTCTGTAAGCCAAGTTTGCAACGTGGCCACCGTGCTAGGTGGCGAGCGGATACGCCTTACAGACGAGCGACAACTATCAAGACACCTGAGTCCAAGTCTTCCTGCAGATTGTCTCCAACAATTTGGTATCAAGGTATAATTTCCTCATTTGCTTTAGCCAAATCTAGCCGTCATCAGTTTCATCAGACATAAATCTATCGGGAACTAAAAATAAAGCAATTTGATCCACATATTATACTATTCGTACTCTGATATTATACCTGCTTTATGTCAGTTTTTGTTCCTGATTGGCACACATCGAATTCGCGAAAGACTAATATAAACGCACCACTCTCTTATATCCTGCAATCAGCTAAGGAAAATCATATTTACGGCGTGATCGAAATAATTCAGTCCTCTAGAATAATGATGACCAAGTGAAATAATTGCGAAGAAGTTAAGAAAATCATTCCAAAGACGTTTGAATCCTGATGAAGTTCACGTTTTATTCTGTACACGGTCGATGATAATACCTCGACTACGAGATGAAGTACCTAAACTAGCCACTTTAAATTGTATTTACCAATTCAACTGCCATTGTAGAGCGAGTTATATAGGCCGTAGCACTAGGAACGTGACATTTCGTGCTCAAGAACATCTCCCAGTATGGTTAAGTCAAAGTGTAGTGAAAACCACCAACAGTTCGATATTGAACTATCTGATACAAACCGGTCATAAAACAAGCCTTGAACTGTTCTCCTCTATCATCTAACGAGTGCATTATAAATTCTCAAAAACATCGAAGCCTCGCATGCTGCAAACAGAAGAGGTTATTGCAATTCCCCTCAAACATCCAGTGCTCTGTGTGTAAAATGAGCAATTCCAGCCGTTGCTACTGCCCTGGCCTTAAGTAGAGACTGTAAATTCATTAATTTGTAATATTATCGTTCGTGATTTCTGTGACATTCATCTTATTTTATGTAGATGCTATTGAACTGTTCTCTTTTGATATTATTGATTCGATGTTATTGAAACATTAGTGATCCTCATAACACTAAATCATTCATTCACTATAATGTATATATAACTGTAGAGCCTGATGGTGAAGATATCGAAAGTAATATTCCTTGTTCAGTATTCATTCTTTCACAAATTTTGTACTGCATAACGCTACTTGATTTAAAGATTATGGTAATGTTAGTCAATAATAAGATATGAATCTTGTCAATACCTTTCCAGAGGTTTGTGCCAATTATGGCTGAATATTATATGAGATTTACTGTTGCATTTGACTTTCAGTGAGACGTCTGTCATTAGGAGGAACAAATTTACTTCACTGACTCAAGCAGCATAGGGATAACTCAACTAAACTCATTTCCTTTAGGAACGGAATAGTTAGCATTTCTCTATATATGCAAAATCATAAAATAAGACGATAAGAGATTACTACCAAAATGGAGACCCTAAATATGAACTCTAGTCGCATTCTTATCATACCATGCTCGATCATGAATGTGAAGTGATTGTAGTCATTGACAACGTACTTTCCCTCCACACTTAATAGATCCCTAAAACTACATGAGAATTATTGAAACACAATTCATAAACCCTTTTTAGACGAAATACTAATTCGAGTATGTACATATAGAATGAAGCAAATCAGGTATGATCAGCATATAATTAAAAACGACATCAGATCAAGAGAATTGAAGTATAAAATATAACATTCCAGAGGCAGTTCACTTAACCAAAGCAGCTCCTACCTTCGTTTGTATATATCCAGCTTTTTTACTTATGTATCTCAAGTTTTCTGAAGATCCCTATTGTTATTATTTGTTTATTTTGTGATTATTACCTGTTGTGTGTTTTTCACTAGCATCGTATTTCACACGAAACGACTTGTCACAGTCATCGCTTTGTCTTTGATATTCCTTTAAAGCTTAATTTGCATCAAAGCAAAATGTTGCCATGCATAAAACAATGCTCTCGTGAGTGGATTATTTTAAATGAAAGATTACAAATACTGAAGATGCGATGGCTTTTAATTTAATGAAAATTATTATATCATTTCAATTAAATACGTTTTGTTTCTCACTTTCCTGGCTTTCTTAATCAAAGTGAGCAACATACGATTTGTTCTGAATCAGTAGATATTGAGTTCCTTTTTGAGAAGGACAATAACTGAGAAAAGCTAACCTGGATGCTTCATAGGTAAACACAGAAAACCACATCTCTCTTCCAAAGTTGATGTTGTACATAAATAACACTTTAGAAAGCAACTTTCTAGTTCACACTATGAAGAAATGAATTTCAAACACTCTGATAATAACATTTTTCGTTTCAGCATTACGATTTGCATTATCTTGTAACCGAATGTTGTTTAACAACTACAAAGACAAACTACCTCATTCGGTCAATCAGCACGTTATGAGAATTCATCTAAAATTATCTTGAAAATCAACAGAGCTTCTGCATACTTTGTATTGTCAGGGGCTTAGCGATTGAGAATGGAAACCTTGATTTCTGTAAACGGAAGAAACTTCTGCCTTCCCTACTTCTAGCTTGAGAATGAATGCAATTTCAACTGTTATCAGTATTTAGATATTGTTTTTACTCTTTCGTGCATTTTTCTTATTATAATTATTAACATCAGTCTCTAGACTAACATTCTGTCTACTCTCTCCACCCACTTCATAATTTCTTCTTACACTTGTTTCCATGATCTTCCATTAGCATTAATTTTCATTTGAAAGTTTTTTTTGCATTACACCAG